AAACTTAAAAAAAATAAAAAATAAAAAATTATGGATTCATATGTATCCCTTTACTATTGCTTCATCCTAATACTTACTATTGCTTCATCCTAGTACAAATCAAAAACTTTCTACAATAAAAAGGCATATATAAATTCATAATTTTTAATTTTTTTTTCCTTTTTTTATCACTTTTTAAATTTTTTTCCTTTTTTTCAGCTTGTGTTTTTATTAAAAAATATATGAATTTATTTTTGAGATATTTTTCTAATAAAAATAAATATTACATGCATTTTTATATAAAATAAAATTAGGTAGATTTTGAAGTACTAGAGATGGAGATTTAATGAGTAAATCATTTAACACTAGCAAAACCACAAGTTTTGATTTTAATTTTGAAATTTTTTTTTAACTTTTATATTTTCATATTTTGAGGGTTACTTTAATAATTTTTTGAAGTTTAGATTTATTTGAAGAAAATTTCTATTTAAACTATTGAAAAAAAAAAAGTAAATATGCAATATGAAGAGAGAGAATGTAAAGGAGGAGAGAGAAGATGAATGGAAAAAAAGGAAGTAGATGAAGATTTCTTTAGTAATTTTACAGTTTAAATTGACCACAACACCTACCCAATGCCATATCAGCACCAAGCCATTTCTTGGTAACGGAGTAACAAGGATGTGGACGGAAAGATGACATTTGATGAGGTCATCGTCAGCAGAAGGGCTGATTGCGGGTTTTGTCAAGTGGAGGGGCTGATTTGCTCTACTTTTAGGTAGAGGGGCTGATGTGCCACAACAATGGATGTAGAGGGGCTGAATTGCACCTTCTGCCATTGGAAAATATTGGAAATTTTAATTCAAAATTTTTAAGTAATTGAGTTTATTAACCTAATTTAATGCCAGCATGATTAGGTTATAAACTACCCCTTTAACTTGAAATTAATTTAGGGTCATTTTGTTCACCAAAAATCATTTTCAAAAATCATTTTTTATATTTTCTTGTGTTTGAAATTGAAAGTCCCTTGAAAAATCAATCACCCAAAATTCACTTCAGTCAACGAAAAATGTGGACTACCATTTATAGAAATCAACTTCCAAACAAAATTTTGAAAGTTATTTTCCTCAAAAACAAAGCGGACCTACGAGTGGACTTCGGGCAGTTGATTTTCCGTCAAAGCAAGGAAGCCCCACAACTTCGGCTAAGCTCCGTCACTGTTGATTCCTCGACCATCCCATCTAGGTGTCCCGAACTCTTCCTAAAACCAAATTACTATTTGAATATTAGCTAGAATATGATTAATTGAAAAGGATCGAATCTTTGAATTTGTTATAGAACGAGTTGTCTTTGATTGGCATTGGTAGAAATCTAGAAAATTGGAAAAACAAAAATGGAGTTCAACAGGGAGGCCGATATTTGCCACGAGGCAATTTATTAAGGCCACCAAAAGTCTTTTAAGTTTTTCTATTGTGATTACTATTTTACCCTTTTCTTCAATCTTTTCAACTTCCATTAACTATGGACAAAAACCCAGTGAAGATGCAAATACTTCCTCACTTTTCTGACACAACCGGATCTCATTCTTAAATTTAAGGCAAAAACCCTTCTCAAACCCCCAAATTTATCTTAAAATATATTTAAGCCCCTAAACTAAAAATAAAACTAATAAGCCTTCCAACTCTACTAACAATACTAATAAACCCTTTTTATTCATGGGTATTTATGCTTTCAAGGTGATATTAAATATAAAATACCGTTTGACTTGTTTGTGAAAAGGGCTTATTTATATTATTAGTGAAATTAAAGGATTTATCTGCTTTATTTTTAATTTAAGAGCTCAAATACTATTTTAAGATAAGTTTGAGGGGTTTGAGGGGTTTGAGGGGCTTAAGTGGGGTTTTTGCCTAAATTCAAACGGCCCACAACAATTTATCTCAGAAGAAATTAATAATAGTAAAAAAATAAAAGTAAAACTTTAAATTTACCCCTTTAAATAAGAAAATAGGGATAAATTTATATTTAAAAAATATAAGAATAAATTGTCTATTTAAATTATCAATTAAGATAAATCATATATTATTTAATATAATGTTATCACATATCAATTTTTTATTAAAAAATACTTCGATAGCAAACAAAAAATGCTTAAATAGTACACAGACTTTTGACATGTGATGACATTATATGTTAAATAATGAATAATTTGTTTTAATCAATAATTGAAAAGAGAATTTATCCTCTCTTTTTTTTAAAAGATGGATTTGTCCTTACCCTATATTTGATGGGCGAATTTGAGGGTTTGACCCCAAGAAAACACACTAAGCCTCAAAATTAAACAATCATAGAAAGTTAGAGAGGGGATAGAAGTAGAGTTTCCATTCAGAGAGACAGTTGGATCTAATTTTCTATTTGATTTTGGAATTTAACTTTGGAAACTTAACGGTTAGATTTTGGGAAATAAGATTTGGAAAATTGAAGTTGGAACTTTGAAGGTGAATGATACTGAGGGTGAGAGAAAGCGAAAAGGTATCAAACTCGGACTTGAAAGGAGGGGATGTGCCACTGGAGGTAATATTAAGCACCATAGTTAAGAAAGAGAGGGAAATTGCATGAGGAATGAAACATGTTGTGCCACTAGAGGCAATGGGTGTGGAGGAGGTAGAGGCAAGGAGGGAGAGCTTCAATGAGAGACAGAAAGGTGGAAGGAGGCGGAGTTGATGGGTAATTGGTGTAGCCAGCTTAGGAGCTGCATGAGTACCAATTTTCATTTTCACTGAGTTGTGGGCATTGCATTATCAAGAGCAAGGTTGTTAAAATTGAGATTTTAGGTAAAATTGTTTTGGTGAGATAAAATTATAATTCTAAAATCAATTTGATAAAATTGAGAGTTTATCAAATTAATTAAAAAATTAAATATTGCTAAAATTTAACATCAAATATTTAAATTTAAAATTCTCCAAGATTACTACCTACTAATTAATTATTTCAAGTCTTTGTTGAGTATTTTTTTATTTTATTATCATTAAACTATT